CGACCCATTCGCTGGGCAAGAACTTTTCATAAGAGTGTTAATAGTCAATCAAAAGCTTGACGCTCTGTCTACTGCGCTACCGCTCTTCTTTTGAAAAGATCTTTCTATAACGCTTCGGCGAAAACAAACCATTTGTGTTCCAAGGAAGCGTTTTTTCTCGCAAGATAGAGCTCTTTCTTAAGATTGCCAGTTTTTTCACTACATGGCCATACTGCTTCTTGCGCTTCTAGCGAAGTAACAGTCGAATTGCGGTACCGATGAGAAACATAACTTTATTTTAAATGCTACAGCGTTATAAAAACGTCTCCTCAAAAAAGGACCACATAACGGATAGCCAGATTTTTAAGCTTTCGAATGATTACTAAAATTCTGTGAATAATTCTTGCCCAGCGAATGGGGTCAAATATTCATTTGCTCTCGGATAACGGAAAACAACTGGGTTAACACATTGTGGACGACAAACCCACAACGCTAGCTCCGCTCTGTTGCGCACCCAGCAGCTCGTGGCGAGCAACCCGCAGTAGCGCGTGCCACGTGTTACCATCATCGAGGACACAATTTGCTGGTTCTACCCCCATACCACAACGCTACACTTCACTTTAGCTTATTTGGTGTTGGATCTACCCCATGGATCTACGTTTCGTATCACAAGTAGTGAAATGTGAGAAAACCGCGAGTTTCTTGTTATAATGATTACGTTATACAAGATTTGGTACTTTTCCGTTTGACGACACGGGATCAAAACCGAGCACTTTCGCTGAACAAGAACTTTTCGAAAGTCTCAGTAACCATACGAAAGCCTAAATCTCTGGCTAGCGCCGCACGTGGACTGTTTTTTTCTGAAAAAGGTCTTTCTATAGCGCTTCGAAAAAAGAAAAACATTTGTTTCACACACGCCTTTTTCCCACAAGACAGAGCTCTTTCTCTAGACTATTCGCAATCATTCGATAGCGTAAGATTTAAAAACTTCAACGCTGTGCTTATTTCGTGTAAAGACCGTTTCAGCGCAGTGTAGGAGAAAAAATGAAATTGATCTACATAATCAAGCGAATGTACTGTGGCCAATTCACGGGCTGCGATTTGGGACGACAAATGGGAGGCAGACGGCGCGATCATAGATTCATGGCGCCTAGAATAAAAATTTTCTCTACACGTTCATGCGCTTTTCGTGTATCCAGCGGAGTAACAATTGGATTGTGCGGCCGATGTGAAACAGAATTCTATTCTAACTTTTACAGCGTTATAATAAGGTCTTCTCAAAAAATGGCCAAGTGAAGCGCTAGCCACAGATTTAGGCTCTCAAATAATTACTTACCTCATAAGAAAAGTTCTTGTCCAGCGAAAGGGATCCGTTTTTGATCGCTGCCGTCTAACGGAAAAGAAAGGAAGATTCCTCAATTCTTATGGACACTAAAAAAAAACAGAATACCCACATATTCTTGAGCAGTCCATGGTCGAGCGGGCATACGTGGATGTAAGTCGGTAGGAGGTACAGGGCCCTTCGTGTTGACAACAGCTTGAGCGGCTCCGACAAGAGTCTCGGCCGTCCATTTTGCTCCACTGTATACCTTACTCAGCACCATCACTACCTAAAGAAAAGATATCATTGTAAGCTGGAAAGGTTCAGAGTTCTCTCAAATATGAACGAAAACTCAGATTGACGATCACATTCACCACGAATAAAGTCGCTTATAAAAGGGCAAAAGTATCTGAAGGATGGAAGGCTTAGTGTGCCTTAGACGCGGAGTCGAACCATCGACCACCTGTGCGTCGCGGAAAGGCCCCTCTGACAACTGCGCCATGCGCGCTCCGAGATCACTAATACTCAACGGGACTGTAAGTAAACATTACCAAATCACAATTTTTACTGTACGGATCCCACTACCAGCATTCGGGTCGCCTATCGTCTTCTAGAATGACGTAGAATATCGGCCCAGCATGCCTCCTTGCAATCTCGGGGATAGCCTGGCCGTGGCGTTTCATAGGGAGTTCTTGTTAACTGCCGGAGAGTGTTGGGAGGGGCGGGGTGGAGCTTGGCTCCAAGCGCGCCGCAACAAGCACCAACACTCGGCCACGGCGCCCCCGTAAGCAAACAAGTAGCTGGAAAACGTTCTTTCCGGTCGGAGAAGCCTCTCATTTTGGACTACTTTTGCGTTCAGTGATCTCATTTGGCCTACGTGCTTGGCAAAAATGCGCCAATCGATCAACCGATCATTCAATAATGGTTAATCGTAGGATTCGGCACATACCGCGAGATCTATAGTAAATTATATTCGACCAACGTTAAAAAAGCTTCTCTCGTCTTTAAAGCCAAAAAAGCGAGCCGCAGTTGTCCACGGTCGTTCGTCTGTAATCTAAAGAAAGAAAAAAAAACGACGTAGGGACAATCGACTCGAACAATCTGCTCTGAAGACAAAGAAGACGTCGAAACGTTGACCGAAAAAATTTTTGGTACTTGTAGATCAGACGGCGACAAATGAATATTAGATCGCTTTCGTTGGACGAGAAATTTTCATAGGAGTGTTAGTAATTGCTTGAAAGCTCAAATCTTTGGCTACAGTACTACGTAACCACTTCTTTAAAACACCCGCTCATAACTAAAGTTCAAACTAAACTCAAAAGGAGTTTTCAAAGATTTTATGAGATGACTCAAAGTTGATGAGAGATAGACAGACAAGAGTACATCGCTAGTGGTAACCCCGAGTAACCCAAGCGATGGTACGGAAATGAACGCGAGAGGGTTAGGGTTCGAGCGTAATTCTAAACCGTCTGAGACATGTCTAACTTAGGACTTCCACTTCAGGAGCACGACCACGTCTTGGCGGCAGACACGATGGGAAAATTCAAAAGAGTGTTTCTGGAAAACAGACAATTAGTAAACCTTCATGCCTCTTCATCGACAAGATTAACGGTTTTTTCTTGATGTCCCGTAGCAATTCTTCGGCAGTGGGTGATAGTCGAACTTCAGTATAGTGCATCGCTGCCGCTGTGAGTTTGAAATCTACAAAACCACGCGTTTTTTCTTCCTTCTCTCGCTTATATTTCACTGGGACAAAACTCCCTCCTGAGACTGCTAGTACTGTTTCGATAGCGCAAGTCTCAGAGAATTCAAAAATATATCATAACCGTCGCTTCCAGTGTTTTCTTGAGACCACAGCTCAAAATTCAATATGCCTGGTGATCATTTTTGAGCCACGCATGTCAATGGTCTGTCAAAGAGGGCTGACTTATAGAGTCTAATTTCACTACATAGAGTGTAAAACGTTCGTCGTCGCTATCTCTTAGTGTGGGGATTGGAGCACCCACAGAGATTAGCAAAAGACAAGAAGGGTAACTGCCCGCTTACGAGTCGCAAAATCGAAACACGTGTATCGGGCTCTATAAGTTAGCCCTGTTTGAAAGACCACTGACATGCGTAGCTCAAAAATGATCACCAGATTTCAAAAATGTCTCTGGTTCTTGAAAAGCCTTTTTGGTAGCGCTGCAGGAGAAAGGAAACGTTTGCGCTTTACAGCTCGCCAGACAGAGCTCTTTCTTCAGACTATCAGCAAGCACTCAACAGCGTGAGTTACAGTAATTCCAACGGTGCGTTTATTCTCTGTGAAAGACCGTTTCACTGCAGTGCAGCACGAAAAATAGCACCGAACTCCACAAATTTGGCGATCCTGTTTACCGGCCAACTCACGGCGGGCAGCCGGGCGGGCGGGCGACTGATCGATACGGGCTGAAAATGTGGAGTGCATGTTGTTGTCGATTGGAAATATTTCTCTACTCTGAATGAAACTCCATGCAAAAATGACTGATTCAGATGCTACAAAACTTACTCTACACAGTCATATGCTTTTTAGGCTTCTAGCGAATTATACGGGCGAGAAAAATGAAGGGGCGCGGAGGGTGCCATACATAATATGTTTTGGATTTTTTTACGGCGTTATGAAAGGGTCTTTTTTTTAAACGGAGATGTGGACTGTAGCCAGAAATCTCAGCTTTCGAATGATTACTAGCACCTCTATGAAAAGTTCCTCTCCAGCTAATGAGGTCGGTTTTTCATTTTTTCCCCTTTTAACCACAGAATTCCTTCCTATACACCCATGTCGAGTGCATGTAGCGCAGTGGTTAGAGGCGCTCTGCGTCGCACACGAGGTCAATTGTTCGATCTCGTGGTTATGGCTCACCAAGCCATCCATCCCTCCGGGGTCGTAGCAGGCAGGTCTCAGACTTGTCTGGGAGGATAAGCAGCACTGACTCGGTTCAATGGGAGGGCATCGCGATTCATTGTAAAGGCCAGATTAGCATTCAATCACCTCAAACGAAGTTAGAAATTGAAGTCGAATGCATGGCGCATCCCTCAGGGATTGATCGATTGATCAACGCTGAGAGCTTTATCCTTTTTATGTCCATGTCGGGATGTGCTAAATCACAAACAGCTATCATTGATCGGTGGCCCGAAGTGACTGTCAAGGCCACATATGCACCCAGTCACCTGAAACGAGGTCAAAAATTGAAGATCGCATGTAGCGCAGTGGTTAAAGGTGCTCTGCGTCGCACACAAGGTCGATGGTTGAATCTCGCGCTCATGATTCACCACACCATCCATCTTCCGGGGTCGGTAAATTGGTACCAGACTGCCCTCAGATTTGTCTGAGAGGATCAGCAGCCTGGCTCGATAGATCGAGAGGCCCTCAGGGATTGATCAACGCCGCGAGCTCGCCCGTCTCGAGGTTGGAAAGAAGCCGTTCTTCGGAATGACAAATCAATATCCTCTTGAATCATCGCATGATCGATCGTTGAGTATCGATCGATTGACTATGGAGAAGAAAGAATAAGAGACACAGAGCCCGACAGCTGTTACAAACGCCCACAATCGGGTTTTCAGGAAACATAAGAAGGTCCCCGTATATTCTTCCACGTACAGCAGTGAATTGACACAAAAGTAAACATAAACAATAAGCAATAAGCAGCAATTTATCTTAGTGATGAAGAAAGGTGTGCAAAACTTTTGCGTCAGGCGGGATTCGAACCCGCATCTCACCCCATCCGCAGGCGCGTGCTCTAACCGTTGCACCATCGACGCCCATTTTGCACACCACTCTTTCTGCGCTACAGCGCAACTGTCAGCCGCCACAATAAGTGTAACAATAAACACGAGACGACAAGCATAAAAAATAAACCCAAAGAAAACAGAATAACCCGAAAAGAGGACGAGCCGCACCTGGGACAAATGTCAACAACTGCGGCTGTATTTCAGACCTATTGCTAATCTCTGACCGCCGACGCCTACCGTACTGCGCGCCCTTTAAACTTAGCCCTCATTTGGAGCGCGATTTCCTCATGAGGAAAGTCGAGGAGCTCCCGTAATTTGAAGTTGTGGTCTCCATGACGCGGAACTGGGCCCTCGTGCTCAGGTTTGTTGGTCCCTATCATGTGCGTTTCTCAGCCACGAATTAGGGTGATCATGTGCTCTTTTGATTTTCTCACGTTTGAGCGGGAGAGGTATATGCGAGCCATGAGAATCCCGCCGACGAGCACGTGTTCGGCTGAGTTCTATGCATCGCAGGCGTCGACGTAGCGCCCTCGGGATCCGTTCGCTCAGGTGAGTGCCGGTCTCGAAAGCGGCTAGCTTCCTTTTTTCTGATTACAAGGGGACAAATGAAAAACCGACCTCATTCGCTGGAGAGGAACTTTTCTTAGGAGTGTTAGCAGCCATTCGATAGCTGAAACTTCAGGCTACAGCTCCGCGTCGCCGATTTTCCGAAAGACCCTTTGAAAACGCTGTAAAATTCACTTAAAACTGTGTCTCAGACGCGCATATTTCTCGCCGGACAAAGCTCTTTCTTTGGACTTCTGGTAGTCACTCAATAGCGTAATCATTTCTGATTACAAAGCTGCGCTTATAGCCTAAAAAGACCGTTTCTCTGAAACGCCGCCAGGTAAAACAAGTTGTATTTCCATCTGCAACCAAGGTGGACTTTGGCTAATTCACGTGCGGCTGGCTAAGGCAGCCACGTGACCGGTGTGAGGTCTTGCGGTCGCCTCAGCCAGGCGCACGTGAATTAGCCGAAGTTCGCCTTGGTCGCGGATGGAAATCCAACTTGTTTTACTTGACTGCGTCCCAAAGAAGCGGTCTTTCTAGGATATAAGCACGGCTTTGAAATCAGAAACGATTTGCTTTCGAATGATCAGTAGTAGTACAAAGAAGGAGCTCTGTCCGGCGAGAAATATGAGCGTCTAGGGCTATTTTTTTTATATTTTTCAGCGTTATAAAAGCGTGTTTCGGAAAATCGGCGACGTGGAGCTGTAGTCTGAAGTCTCAGCTTTCGTATGGCTACTAATTCTCCTATGAAAAGTTCCTTCCTAACGGATAAAATCGGTTTTTCATTTGCCCCTCATAATCAGAGAGAGCCCTATTATCTATCTCAATTTCTATGTGATCACATGACCCGCCATCACAATTTATTGTGCCGATCTCACAGCAATTGATGCATTCGATTCAACTCGCATCGTTCCACTTATCCTCCACAAAGGTCTTCGAGTGCATCTCAAGCGCTGCCTTAGCCGCTGCTTCCCAACTTCGTCTTCTTCAGGAATGTCTTAGAATGTATGCTGGTTGAGGCGATTGTTCTTGCAGTTCTGGAGTTGACGGGCTCAAGGCGTTCACCTTAGGCGTTCGTTGATTGATTCCTAGAGGATGCTGGAGGAGGAGATTGAACCAGCGCATCGATGAGCACGTTACTCCCTAACATAATTCGTAACTAGCCAGTGCGCTATCTCACCCCTATGTATATTTACATGACTTAGTTTTCAAAATAGTAGCTTACCAGAAACGACAATAAACTGCATGTGCTGTAATCTTCTAAGGAGCTGTCCACGAAGTTACAAATGTTGGATGATGTTTCGATCATTGTTAGATCAAGCCATACATATTCACAAATTTCCGTCGTTACCCCTTCGGAGCCGCCTCTGTTACTTTAGCTGGCAACTCGGGACAGTGTGCTCCATCTCCGCTTCATCTCTAACCCCCAGCGTGCTGCGTCTAACATTGGCAAACTCAGCTGTTGCGAAAAAAATGGCACACTGTTGCGCACAGCAATGACACGGTGTTGCATTTAGCAGTAGGACGCTGGTGGTTAGAGATGTAGAGGAGGTGGAGCAGACCGTCCAGAGTTGCCACTTAGAGTATCAGAGGCCGTAGATCCACGGTCCCGAATGGGTCAGTAGAGTGGGTGAATCATAAATTGTCAATTGTCGACGGCAAACTGAGCCATCAAGTCGGACAACCAATGATTACGCATGGATCGGCCAGCATCCGTGAACAGAAAACCACCGTGTTTCAACACGACACTATAAATCTAGGCAAGACGCGGAAAGCCCTGAGACTTCGCTGGAGGATACAAGCTCACCCACCCTCTTGACCAGACCTCATTTCCGTCTATCCAAGTATTTGAAGATCACTTGAAATAGTGTGGGTTTTGGTTCTTCGAAAGCCTATAGAACCCCCCGAATATTGTTTAGAGATCAACCGAATTCTTTGTTTAGCAAGTTTTTTAGCAATGGTTGATGTTAAGAACATAAATCGAATAACGTCGAGTTATAGCCAGAACTTGAATTGGGATTAGGAGTTCAACCGGCGTCTCAACCTTTTTAAATAGTGTGCTAACCGCTGCGCTATCGCGGCTCCTGTTCTGCTGTCATTCATCTTGCAATATTAGGAGTCGATTCCGTCAGCAGTCAATAGTTAACGGTGTCACCTGGTAAACGCATATCGGCGTTGAACTCAGTTACGCTGACAGCTTTTGGGTATGGGGAACGGAAAGAATGAGACGCGAGTTCAACCCCGGCCCAAGGTCAGGGAAAATTAACAGAAGTTCGTTCAAGTTGAATTAATATAATTTCCGAAATACGTCTAAAATGAAGACTTAAGATTGCTCTCAAATTTCGATATGCCTGATAATTATTTTTGAGCCATGCATGTGGTCTATCATTGGTACATATGCACTGCAATACACGTGTTTCGGCCTTATAGCCTCGTCAGCTGCACGGTGCCTTTCGTCTTGAGCCAGTCCCTCATGGGGGAGAGCCCCCCTTACTTAGAGAAGCCGCAGACGTAATATTAACAAGCACCATTGAGCGATAAAGAGCGCATGTGGCGCAGTAGTTAGAGGTGCTTTGCGTTGCACACGAAGTCACTGGTTCGATCTCGCGCTCGTGACTAGCCAAACCATCCATCCCTCCGGGGTCGCTAAATCGGTGCCAGACTGGTCTGGGAGGATGAGCAGCACTGACTCGGTACAGCGGGAGGCCACAGCGAGTCATTTTGACGGCCAGATATGCATTCAATCGCCTCGAACGAAGTCAAAAATCGGAGACGAATGCATGGCACATACCTCAGGGAGACGGCTTTGTCCTTTATCCCTTTTATCAAGCGATAAGAATCACCAAACGGGCAGTGTTGTACACTCTATTGTTCTTGGCTGATAGTCGTGAAAGATAGGACCATTCCTTTCGAATGTTTTCTTAAAACAAGGCCCAGTTATCAGGCTGGTTAAGATCTGAGCGTGGTTCCAAGAAAACACCCGAAACGAATGATATGATATCTCACGATTACTAGAGCAATCGAATGTATAGCACTGCCCGTTTCTTGATGGCGCGATTAAATACTACTGCGCTTCCTAGATGTGAGGGGGTTCTCCTCCAAAAAGCATTTGCTCAAAACGAAAGGCACCGCCAAGTGCGAGGCTGCAAGACCGAAGCACGTGTATTGCACTGTATAACTGTCCATGACAGACCACATGCATGGCTCAAAAAATGATCAGGCATGAAGGATTTTTGCTAATCAATTGTTAACGAACTATGAAACTGGCATACCCATGAATTTATACTTTGTTTCCTACGTGAGTAGTTATGACCTATGGGAATCGTCTTAGATAACTTTATTTACTGTTCTACCGCCTTTACCACCTTCAAACATCTATCTTGATATCTTATCACTGAGTTTGCTTTGGCCGCTATCACACAACACTCCCCTGTACTTCCTTCTTATCTTTTCGTTCCGCTGGAAAGTTAGTCCCCAAGCACGTTTTCTCTAAGAATTTGTGGCATTTTATTATGGAGAGATGAAACAGCGCTATTCCAGTAGTATTCTATATTACGGCAGAATTTATCATCTAACCCCTGAGGGATGACGTGTACCAAATGAGGTACACGATTTGATTTGAAGGCCTTTCTCGCTGGACTAAGCATTTCTCATAGACAATTGGTATTCATTTGAAAGCTAAAATCCTCTACAATTCAACAAATATGATTGATTTCTGTAAGAAAACATTTTTGTTACATTGTAGCAGTAGAAATGAAATTATGTTTCGCTCTCAGTTTGCTTTAATTGCTCTGCTAGAGATTGTATACATGACTCTTCGCCAAATTCTTGTCATTCTGTAGCTCAAATCTCGAGGATTTCAATGCTGTAATTGGGTTTCTAAAAGGTTATCAAAGAATGCTGTATGAGCGATAAGAAGATCGCTTTTCGCACTTAAAGTTTCTATAGCATAGAAAGATCAAATATGCTCGAAAAACGTATGACCATGTAAGGAAAATCGTGGGTGTTCAGCACTCGATAATGATTCGTCGAAAGCGCGCGTTGTTTTGGCAAGAGAATCTCGAAGCTCACGTCGCAGAGAAGATTAGAGAAAGGTTGGTTCTTTTCCGTTTGGTAGCACGGATATTCAAGCCTATCGTCTACGCTGGACAACAGGTTTTCATAAAGAGTGTTGGGAATCATACGAAAGCTTAGATTTCAAGCTAGCGATATACCTGGCCAGTTCTTGGAAAGACCCATTCATGGCGCTGAAAGATCAAGAATTAAATTATGTTTTACATCGGCCCCACAAGTGAACTTGCACCTTGCTTTGCTATTATTTTTGATTTTCAGCGTCATGATAGGGTCTTTCCAAGAACTGGCCACGTCTGGCGCTAGCTTGAGATTTAAGCTTTCGAATGATCACTAACACTCTTCGTGAAACCTCGTTATTCTGCGTAGGGAATAGGCTTGAAAATCTGTACTACTGAACGGAAAAGAAC